GTAAAACAATTCTTTATAAGAATTCTCCAAATGGTCACCCTGAAAACATACATACAAATAACATCCTAACAGGATAAGGAGGATATATATATATATATATATATATATATATATATATATATATATATTCAGGAATACATATATACACACGTGTGTGTATATATGTGTGTATGTATGTGTGTGTATATATATATGTGTGTGTGTGTGTATGTGTGTGTGTGTGTGTGTCTGTAGGTAGCAATAGTTAATGAAAAGAGAGGTCATGAATTTTAAAGAGACCAAAGGGTTATTTATGGGAGAGCTTGGAGGGAGGAAAGTAAAAGGCAAAATTATTTAATTATATTATAATCTCCCAAAAACAAAAAAAAATAATTTTTAATAAAAAATAGATACACAGATCTACTGACTTCAACATTTTAATAGCACAACCAAAAGTAAACGAAAACTTCATTAATTAATTGATAGACAAAATAATCCATTTACTCTCTTCTACATGCTTATGGTATTTTGGTGTTTTCATAGCTATCTTATAACTTTAAATATATATTTCATTAAAATCACTCAAACTTGTTATTGTAAGGCCATTCAAAATAGCTCAAAGAACCGGAACATGAAGGGAGGCTGAGAGGGACATAGTGCATGGGCTTGCTTGTTTGTTGTTGTTCTGATTTTTCCAGAAACAATAAAATGAAAATAATTTTAAGTGGAAGGGAGAAATCCATGACATTAGAGGAAACCCGGAATTTCTGAATTACTGAAAATATGCTAAGACTCTAGAAAGAATTTTTAAAAGCCAGTACCTACAGCACCTATGGATCCAGCCATGATGCCTGTGACTTACTTCTAAATTTTCTCTCTTCTTACAATACTGGTGTTGAAGTGTCCAGCCATGCTTTTCTCTGTCCTTATAATTCAGTTCTGCCCACTGAGCTGAGTCTAATAGACAAGTTACGTAGTGCAATTGTGGCTACAAAGCAAAGCCTGTCAAGTCTAGATGTGTAACTGTCCTTGCTTTAACCCAGGCATTGGGTCCATGATCCAGTAGCTTTGCAAGCTTTTGGTGACTCATCTCCTTTAGACACCATCTAGAGTTACTGTTATTCATTGCATGGCTGGCCCACTCCTATCTATAGTTATTGATTCATATTGGTTTTGCTGACTACACAATACTGGAGCTGAGTTAGAGGAGTGTAGTAAGTTCCTTCATACCCTGGTGTGCCTTAATTACCATTATGGATTTTACTTTGTTCAAATCTTTTGCAGTTTCCTCAAGTCTCAAGTAAGAAATCATTGATAAATCTTTCTGAATGACTCAATATGCTGTGAGCCTCCTCCATAATACAGTATTAGTCTGTTTGTATGTCTATCCAGTTGCTTAGAATCACTGAGTGTTCTTCCAACATTTTCCAAGGTGTTCATATCCATTTCCCTGAGAAGTAAGAATTAGATCTACAGGGTTGGGGGGGAGGGTTGTTTGTTTGTTTGTTTGTTTGTTTCATGCAGTCTTGAACTCTTTATTAGCTGTTTTGTTTCTTTCTCCAGCCCCATTTTCTCTTGATACATCTATAAAATCACCATCTGCTCTTGGCATAATTTTATGTCTGCTCAACCCTCTCTGAAGTCTATCTTTCCTCAATGCTTTATGTGATAACGATTTATTCTTGATTCATTGTACACTTGCTTTCACCACCTCCTGCTTCTCTTTCCCCCCTCTGCCATCCTGCCCTAGACTTTACTCAGTCAAAGACGGTTCTAGTCTAGCTCTTAGCAGCACAGTGTCAACATCATCTATGCTACTTTCAGGACGAACACTCAAAAATCATTTGTTCTGATATTCTGACCAATTAAACTCTGAGTTAACTACCGACTAGAAAAGAGAATTTTCCCTGCCCAAGGTTGAGGGCAGCACTAATCTGTGAGCAGAAACATAAGCATTTGGAAGACTGTATAGCAACATGTCATTTAGCAAAACAACAAGAGTTGGTTCCTCTTTAGGACCTATGGCTTCCTAAGCCATGAGCTTTTAATTAAGTTTACAGTACCAGACATAAAATTCCTTCCAGGAGAGCAGGCCTCAAATCCAATCTTAAAGCCGTTGGTTACCCCAGAACCTTTGTGCAACTGTTATACCAGTAGCACATCTTCCCTGGAAAGTTAGTATTTTAGGATACAGGTTAGTCATAGGGTACCATTAATGTTCTTTTTCTCCCTGTCACCTATATAACATATTCCAGCACTATGACAGCTAGTCAGCAATGAAGAAATTTTCATGTCACTTGCAATTTGAATTATCTGTATCCTGCTACCAAAGTACATTGTATCTTCGGCAATGGAGTCTTGCCAGCTAGCTATGCTGAGCAACCAGGAACAATGTCAAAAGCTTGTATTATTTCAGGAACCTTGGAGAAGATGTGTCCCACTCCTGCCACTGATAATTTCATGTAATGACCCAACTCTTTTGGAGAGCCATTGTCAACTCTTGCAAAGTATCTCTGTTCAGCTCTTATTGTATTTTTAGCCGTATATTTTAATTAGCTTACAAAATAGTAGAGTTCCATGTGGGTTTTTTATTACTTTATTTATTATTTATTTGGGGGGGGGGCATGCCACAGCATGTATGTTAATGTCAAGGATGGTTTGTGGGGGTCAGTTCTTCCAGCGTGTGGGTTCTGGGGATCAAATTCAGGTCATCAAGTTTGGCAGCAAGTACATTTACCTGCCGAGCCATCTCACCAGCTGTGCATTATAAATCTTAATGAGATATATTATATAAGCTATATTTATGTGCTTGTTTATCTAAGGTGGTTCTATAAGTTTCACATTTCATGTGCTGTCCGAATTACTTAGGAGATTAAAAAAAAAAAAGTTCTCATGCTACATAAAAGGTGGAGAACAAAACAAAACAATGACAAAATCCTGTAGAACCTCCATTCTACAAACTAACAGACAACAAACATAATCTAAATCTGAATTTAAAAAAGTAAAAATTCCTCCTAACTTTCATATTATTTTAGGAAATACTGTAGGTGGTACTGATAGGAAAAAAAAGTGTGTTCTCTGTTTGCCATTTAGCTGCTCGTTTTACTGAACTCTGACTTCCTCTTCTGACCTGAATTTCAACAAGAGTATTAAATCCAATCTTTTGCAGTTACCTGTGCATATTTTGTGACTTCAGACATTTAGAGTATGATTCACTCGGAGACTAATCTTGAAATGTCTTCAAGCTAACAGTGTCCCTTTCCCTTTCTCTAGTGTTGCTATAATGTACTAACACCATAGCATGCTTTCAGAGGTATTAACCTAACAATGGATTGACGGCCGGTTTCTTTTAAAAGTTCAGTATATTGATTCCATACTTCATGTCTTCTTCTGGAAAATGAAATCTATGCAATTTCTAATTAATAGGTTTCATGACAATAAAGATAAGTTTGTGGGTCAAGAAAAAGGGACTTAGGACTTGCTGTCCTTGAAGAGAACCCAGACTCGGGTCCCAGCATCCAGATCAAGGGTTTCTCCTATCCTCTTCTAGACTTTGTGAGCAACAGGCACACACGTGGTACACAGACATGCATGCCAGCAAAGTAGTCATACATGTAAAATAAAAGTAAGTTAATTTAAAAAAAAAAAGAACAGCTTCAGAAATAAATTCAGAGTCTATAGAGATTGTGTAGCAGTTGGGAGCACATATTGCCTCACAGAGAACTAGGGATAGTCCCCAGCAGGCAAGGTGGATGGGTTATACTGCCTCTAAATCCAGCTTCTGGGTGTCCAGTTCCTCTGTGGGCATCTGCACTCACATACACATAACTGCACACACACACACACACACACACACACACATACACAAAATTAAAAATTATTTTTAGAAAATACACTCTTAAAATTATAGAAAATTCCAAGCATGATAATCATTGTATTTGCTGTATATTGTACAGCATTATCAGCCATTTACCTATTTCCATTGTTTTAAGCACTTTAGAACATAAACAATGGAGTGTGTGCTTGGCAATATGCTAGAATGCAGTAAAATAAAAGCAAAAATATCCTCCAGGGTCATAAAATCAGTGTCTATTTTAAGTCACTATTATCACAGTCTCTCCAAATGGTGAAAAACATGGTTTCTGTGTGCATGCAACTTTTTCAGTTTGTTTTCTGATTTCAAATTAGGTATTTGGGTACTGAAACTCCAACGTTGTAGAAATTTATAATTTGGAAAATATAAAGTTCCTGTTTCTAATATTCTCCTGGTTGTCTTACAAAAGAGCTGAAATTTTTAAACCAAATGCCAATACATCAAACATTAAGTATTCATTTCCACACAAAGCACATAGTGCATAATTACATAATGTATTGGAACAGAGGTAATATTTGATTTGCGCTCCAGGCTCTCACTTAATTGACAGGCCAGTTAAAAGAGCATATTCAGAGCCCAGGGTATTCAGAGTACTGGAGACCTTTGCTAAACAGTAGGCACAGTTGAATACTCCACAAGAGGAGAAAATAGTTGGCACAGGGAGGATGCTATCTTGTTTGCCAAAAACAGTAAGAAGCAAGGACATTTCCCATCAACCCGGGAGCCAGAGGTTGGGGGTTGAGTTGGGAGCTTTTGTTGCAGACTAGGGGATTAATGACAGTGGGGTTATTGTGAAAAAGGACTTTATAACCCTGCAGTTTCCCAAGACACTGAACTCTCTGGAGGCCATTGTCCAATTTGATGAAGGTTATGGGATTCAAAATTGTACAGGTAAAAGATCAGCATGGTTAAGGGACCAGAGCTAAAGTGACAGATGGGTCCCGTCTGGGCCTTTCCACTCTGCAGTCAGTAGGCTCCTCACTAAGTGCTGGTGGGTACGGCAGGGTGCTGGGATCTGTTTGCTTTTGGCTCAAACTAATGTGCATTAACTCTTCACACGCGCGCGCGCACACACACACACGAATTCTTTGAGAAATGAGACTTATTAGTCACTTGACTTACGGCTGCCTCAACCTGTTTCTTTCAGATACCATTGTTCTTATTGCTTCTATAGCAGTTGTCTCTGCAAAAACTCAGGGCAATATTTTTGCCACATCGGCGCTTAGAAGTCTCCGGTTCCTACAGATCCTGCGTATGGTGCGCATGGACAGGAGGGGAGGCACCTGGAAGCTGCTGGGGTCGGTGGTTTACGCTCACAGCAAGGTAAAGATATGCTCTCTACACTTTTAGTAGAACTTCTGAAAATGTCCCATTGATTGCAACAGTGTTTAATAAGCTTAACACGGGCAGTTACCTCAGACTGTGTCATTTGGGGGCCTGGTACATAATGCATTACTTCAAAAGCATTCATAGACTTCCTATAAGTGGGAAAATGGATTGAATTGTACAAGGATTTTATTTCGTTTTTCAAAGATTCTTTTTACCTCTAAAATGTTTTTTTTTTTTTTTTTTTTTTTTTTTCCTTTTATACCTAGGAATTAATCACAGCTTGGTACATAGGATTTCTGGTTCTTATTTTTTCATCTTTCCTTGTCTATCTGGTGGAAAAGGATGCCAATAAAGAGTTTTCTACATATGCAGATGCTCTGTGGTGGGGCACAGTAAGTACAAATATCTTTTTTTTGATCTACTGCCTATATGAAACGTTTCCCCTGAATGTAACAAAATAGTTTTCAATGAATGAAAATATTAACTTCCAAAAACAATGAGTGTGGAAGTGTATGGTATTTATAAATGATCTGAGGGGTTTCTGTGCCTTTTTTGGGCAAATGAAATTAAATTTACACATAATTTATCATTTACATTTTGGGGATGCTCAGTTGTTGCCAGAGTAAAATATATATATATATTGAAAATAGGAAATGTTAACAGGATTATTTGCTTGGTAAACTTAAATAGACAAATGATAAATTGATTTACCACTGGGGGGGGGAGTATGATCATTGAAAGAGTGAATAGATGTGTAGTAGAATATGCCTATAATCTCAGCACTCTGGAGGCTGAGGCAGGGGGATCACAAGTTTGAGGTCAGATTGGGCTACACAGCATATTTTTTTAAAAAAACAGAAATTTAAAAAACGAATAGCAGCTGATTCAAATTGAGAAGAACTAAATGCATCAGTCATTCAGGAAGGGAAGGCTGGGAACAGCCTGTGGGAGCAAAGACCAAGGATACCTTATTATAAAATTTTCCATTCAAAAATCCCACTTGCCCTTGCATTGTTACAGAGATTTTCCAAACCAGGAAGAGTACAATTTACAACTGTCATACGAATAGAAAACCAATGCATGCTGTCCATTATATTTAATTCATTATTTAAAATTTATCAGTGAAGAAGCCAGTAACATGTCACAGTCAGATAAAAGCACTGATCAGAATGTTGCTAAATGTTGGGATATTGAAACAGAAGAATAAGTGAAGGAAAATCTGGCTGATTTCACAGTGTAGGAAATAGATCAGTGAACATCCACTAGACATAATTTGTCTACATATAGATAAGGGAAAGTTATTCTGCATTGCTATGTGTCATCTACAATATACAGAGTTGTAAAATGACTCAAAAAAAAGTCATGAAGATACAGACTCCAATAGTCTGGGAAGGGTGTACTGTGGATATTGCATTTTTTCCTTTCAGGTAAAAGTTTTCCTTCATTGTAAAGAATTTACAAAACAGTCATTTGGAACTTATACCCTAATAAGAAGTTTACTGTGTACAGTAGTACTTTATGCAATATAAAAATTACATTTCTTTTCATTTTATACCTTTATGAGTTATATGGAAATATACGAAATTTATAATAGTGTAAAAATATTTTCATTCCGTACCTGAGGTTATAATATAATTATGACATTTCTCCCTTGCATTTTCTCCCTCCAAACACTCCCATATATTATTCCTCGCCACTCTCCTTTGAATCTGTGGCTTCTTTTTTGCACTAATTGTTATTACGCGTGTATATACATATATATTCCCAAATATCACCTGCTCAGTCCACACAATGTTACTCATATGCATGTTTTCAGGGTTGGCCATTTGGTACTAGACAACTTATTGGTGTGCCCTTCCATGGCAAAAAAAAAAAAAAAAAAAAAAAAAAAAACACATCTGTACTCCCAGCTTCCTCAGTTGCCTATAGCTCTTTGTGTAGGGTTGAGGCCTCGTGGGCTTTTCTGCATCTATGTCGTCATGCCCATTGGTGTTGTCCTTTTCAGCTCATGTTTGCGCAATCACGTTGATGAGACTTTATGGGCATAGCTTCTGCTATTACTAGGAGACTCACAGCAAGCTCCCTGATCTTCTAGTTCTTACAGTCTTACCACCCCCTCTTCTGCAGTGTTCCCTGAACCTGCTGAGTGTATTTTAAATGATTCCATTGGGACTCAGCTCCACAACTCTGTGTTCTGATTGGTAGTGGCTTTCTGCATTGGTCTCCAACTGCTGCAGAGAAGTTTCCCTGATGAGAGGTGAAGGCTACACTTCTCTTTGGGTATAAGTAAATACAGAATGTTCATAGAATGTTGTTAGGGGAATGTTTAGCAAGTCGGTAGTTATAGACACAATGATCATGGAGTCACTAGCAATGAGAGGTTAGCCAGGTTTCCAGTACAAGGAATGACTTCTCTCTTGTTTAGCAGGGCTCAAGGTCAATTAGAGAGCTGTTGGTTGCCTCCAAGGTATGCATGCCACTCCTGTACCCAAAGAGTTGTTGTGCCATGCTATTCTGTAGGTGTAGCTTGTGAGCATCACAGTTGGGTAGGGTTACCTCCATCCTTTGGAAGCTTGTGTAGTGATTTCTGGTCCCATCAAATCTCATCATCCAGAAGGTAGCATTAAAGTCAGCTCCAGCTCAGGAGCTCCTGAGCTGTTTCTAAACTGCATGTGTCATCAGCAATTGGAACTTAACTTCCACCCCTGGGAGGTAACCAAGGGCAACAACAATCGGCTATATGCTTTGGGAGTCTTTTGGACAGCCCTAGCCAACAACTAAAAAAAGGGCTTTCTCATGTCTGGTATTGACATCTTTGCAATATGGTCTTTGGCTCCTGGAGGGAGCACCTTTGGCCCAGATGAGAAAAGTTTATTAAAGCCTTATATGTATATTTGTACATGAAATTGTATTGCTATAGGTTTCTTTCAGTTAAATAATTAAGAGTAGACGCATGGGAGAGGGCCTAGGCCCTGCTCCAAATGATATCACAGACTTTGAAGACTGCCATGGAAGTCTGCTCCCTAAGGAGCAGAAAGGGGGTGGGGTGGGAGTTGCTGGGGGGAACAGGTGAGGATAAGAGGGTATAGGAACTAGGATTGACATGTAAATCAAGCTTGTTTCTAATTTAAATAATTTTTAAAAAGAGTAGGATTCATTGTGGCTTGTTCAGAATCCTTACTGGTATTTTATCCACCTTCTTCTGTATTTACCTCCCTCCCTGCCTCCTCCCTAAATGTCCCTCTCCATTTTCTTATTTTCTGATTTCCTCTCTGAGATAAATTGTATCCTGCTATTCCCTTTTAGCCTCCTCCCATTTTCTTTTGTGTTTACATCCCTCCTTCTCTCTAAAGGGCACCCTTTTCCCATTTGTGTAAAATGTTTCCACCCTTTTTACTCCACAAAGGAAAATTCACTTATAAATCACCCTTAATGATTCTTGAGTGCTAGCCAGCTGTTTGCGGAACTAAGAACATATCATCATCTTAAGCTGTGACTGAAGCACTGATAGGTTTGTGTACACACAGCGGAGCACAGATGTAAGTTTGGGTTGTCCACTGCTCGTCCAAAGCTCATTCATGTAGCCTAGAACTCCTATCAGAGATAACGAAAATTTGTCAGGACTAAATTAAGCAGAACTTGATGTATTTCTTGGCTTGGCTTCATAATATTGATTAAATAAAAATTAGAGATACATTCATCTACATTTAAGGATTTTAAAAATATTATCAGGCCCAGGCAATGGTAACACATGCCTTTAACCCCAGCACTCAGGAGGCAAGGGCAGGCAGATCTCTGTGAGTTCAAAGCCAGCCTGGTCTACAGAATGAGTTCCCAGACAGCAAAGGCTATGCAGAGAAATCCTGTCTCAAAAAACAAACAAAAACTATTACCAGAATACATATCCCCAAGATTATACTGTTGGTAACAGGGTAGTCTATTATTTTAATAGATTGGCTTCCAGAACTACTAGGTAAAAAGACAGGTTACACAATGAGAGAAAAACCTTTGCTGAGTGTACATCAGTCAGGAAAGCAATATCTAAAATGTATAAACTATAAAAATTCAACACCAAAATTCCATCCAGTCAATAAATGAGCTGATCAACTAGACAGACACTTCTAATAATACAAAACAAGTAACACAAATAGCCAATAGATACTTGAAAAACTATTCAAAACTTCACCATAGAAGAAACATAAAACTGCTTTGGGATTTTTCTCAGCTCAGTCAGAATGGCTATCGTCAAGGAAACAGATGACCGTAAATGCTAGTGAAGATATGGGGAAGAGGAAGACAGATACACTGTTTGTGGGAAGGTGTACTGAATAGCCACTGTGGATATCATTGTAGAATTTCTTCAGCAAACTATAACAAGGACTATATCACTACGGAACACACACACACACACACACACACACACACACACACACACGGCACATACATAAGGGAATCGAAGTCGACACACCATGAAGACACAAACACAATCATGTTTATTGTTGCATTCTTTGTAGTCCCTAAGAAATAGAATCAGACTATACATGCATGACTTCTCTATTATGGGGAGTCTAGATATAAATGAGTATGTGTATATGTAGACATTTACGTGCACCCTTAGCCCCATGACATTAGAAAGAGAAACATGGATTTTTCTTTCTGCCACAAAGGAAAAAGTAGTTGTGGCATCTGTAGGAAAGGGGGTACAAATGGAGATCATCATAGTCAGTTAAATAAGCCAGGTGCAGAAAAATAATGCATGCTTTCTCTAATATGGTAAGTCTTGAAATAAGTGTGTGTGTGTGCGTGCGTGCGTGCGTGCACACACATGTGGGCACACATACACACACATGTGCTCCCTTAGCAGCTAAGAATCGTGGGACGAGAGAAAGAGACTGAATACAGTCTCTGTGGTTGGGAGAAGGGACCATAATGGAATACATGTGATATAAGACCAGAAAGGGGGGCTCTTTGTGGGAAGGAAGATGAGCAGAAAAAGTAACAAACACAGAGCTGGGGTACCAGAGGAATTGGGAGGACTAATGAATAAGAACAAAATAAAATGACATGTATGTGGGAGAAGCGATATATATTAAAAGAAAGAAAGACAATGGCGCAATGAAACTCATCACTGTGTGTGTTAACTCACAGTATTAATTTGTAAATGGCTTCATTTCCAACTCTTCCTCCCTACATACAAGAAACACTGGGCACCGTGCAATGAGAAGGATGGAAATCAGAAAGAGACCTGACATTCTTGAGATACCTCTAATGTGTACAGAGTAAATGAAAACCTGTTACTCATGGGGCAATAAAGTGTAAACTGAGAAAAATAGGTGGGTTCTCATGTGAGTGAGGAAAGGCAATCTATAACCCAGCCTGTCTGCAGCAATCT